GGGTTTAGGGTTTAGCGTTTAGAGTTTAGGGTTTAGAGTTTAGGGTTTAGGGTTTAGGGATGGATCTCCCCGTGCTTGGGCAGCTCCTGCTAGACAGGTGCGGGCAAAGATTGTCATCAAGCTCGGAGCCCAAGGTTGTGTGCGATATCATGTTGTCTCATGCGAAACATTACATTATATGATATATTTGATATCACATTATCTGATATCATATTGTATCCTATTGAACAAAGTTTCTAATAGCATATTATACTACATTCTGTTCGTTTATTATATATATATATATCACATCATATTGCCTTGCGTTACATTATATTGATTGATCTGATATTGTCCTATGTTTTATTATGTTGCATTATGCTAGACTATATTAGGTTGTCTATTACATTGTATCATACGGTATCACATAAGACTATACTAAAATTCAACAGATCATATCGGGTCATAGAGTTTTCCTCATATTACTCGATTTTATACTATTCCATTGTAGGTTGTTCTGTTATGTTGTATCATGCCGTCTCATCCGACTCTATACCAAATGAAAAACACACCCCCGCAGCAACAGCAAAATAACAGCAACAACAAGCAACAAAAACGCTCCTACCCTATTCCATTGTCGTTTGTTCTACTATGTTGTATTATGCCCTCTCATACTATATCAAGTGAGGCTTAAGAGTATGTTCAGGGGCTGCTTGGGAGGTTTAGGGGGATCCCCTGCTTCACCCGGGCCTCCTCCGCCAGCTCTGTTGCTTTTGTTGAGGGCTCCTTTTAAGGGGTTCCTGTGACGGATCTCTACGGCTTCCTTTAACAGTGCCTTTATCTGTCTGGTGCTTAGTAACGAATGGGGGAATGGATCCCTATGATAGTCACTTCAGGTCCCTTATGATAGTCCCTATAACCCATTCCACCATTCCCTACTAAGCACCAGACAGTTATAGGGGCTGGTGGTCAAAGTGGACATCTGGATCATGCTATCCGGTTTTCAGCAAGGGCCTCCCATCGCAAGACTTGCAGGGTCGCTTGCCTGCCATCAGCTTTAGTGTCCCCAGGTTTAGGGTTTAGGGTTTAGGGTATAGGGGTTTAGGGTTTAGGGTTTAGGGAGACGACCAGGAAACCACTGCGCGACCCCCAGGGGACCACCGGCGCACGATTCCCCCGGAGTTGTTGGGGCAGGACCAAGATGCGTCCTCCCAAATACTGGCGGGATTCAATAGTATCGGATCCCAAATGAGGTCAACACACTCCCCGATGCAGAACACCTAGCACGGAAGATTCCGCTTGCGGAATTTCCATCTTCGAAAGTCCCCCAAGACCTTGAACCCAACCGCCGCAAACAGCGACCCCAAACACGACCCTAAGCCCAAAGACCCGAATCCCGACGCCCTAAACCCGAAGGTTTAGGTTCCAAAAACTCAACGAAACCCGAGTCCTGACAGAATCCTGTTCGAAGCCTTCTTCAACAACATGAGTACACCCTCAAAGCCACGATCATAGAACTTTCATGCAGCCAAACCCTAAACCCTAAACCCTAAGCCCTAAGCCCTGAGCCCTGAACCCTAAACCATAAACCCTAAAGGCAGTTGTTCGCAGATCCTGAAACCCAATGCCCTCCTAGGCTCTTTGGTGACGGCCACGACCCTGGGGAGCTCTCCACAGACCAAGCCGCAAATCAGCTGCAGAAGGCAGCCAAAAGCATGCACTGCATGGGTCTATATAATATGGAAGCCCAAATAATTACCAATGTTATTGTGAGGGTTCCTTAATATAATTTCTACCATAAAGGAGCCTAAAACCCTATTCTAGTTGTTAAGGCCCCTACGTTAGGTTTTGGGACTGAATCGCTACCAATCTTGTTCCTTCGGGTTCCTTCTTGTCATCACAGTATCTCATATACACCGAAGCCGCATTCTAATCTTGAATGGCCTAAACCCTAAACCCTACTGGGCATAAGCTCCTGCTGTTGCGGAGATAGGTTGTCGGCCTTCGGGGGTTTGGTTAGGGTCTTGAGGTTTGGTTTAGAGGTATTTGTAGCTTGTTTGGGGTTTAAACCCGGGTTTCCCTAGCCTCTTGTGCTCAACCATGCCGGGGTTGATATGGGGCATGCGTGTAGAATCAGTGTAGAAAGTTCTAAACCCTAAATCCTAAAAGCTCCAGGAGACCCTCTTAAAAGTGGCACAGGTTGGTTGCGTCTTGAGGGGGAGTGGGCACAGGCGGCGAGGTGTGTTTTCTTCGCTTGTTGTGGGGTTTCCAAAAAGGTCATCAGCTTTGTTTTGATATGTGTTGTATAGGAGTTTTAGCCCTCTGCCGCCGTCGGTTTGGGGTTGCGCAGGTGGGCGGCAATGCCGCAACCGTGCGCCGAGTGAAACGTGAACGGCAGCTTTCGACAGTGTTGTGCTCTGTCGGCAAGTACCCTGAACCTTAAACCCTAAACCCTGAACCCTGAACCCTAAACCCTAAACCCTAAACCCTGAACCCTAAACCCTGAACCCTAAACCCTAAACCCTAATAACTGAACCCTAAACCCTGAACCCTAAACCCTCAACCCTAAACCATAAGCCCTGAACCCTAAACTCTAAACCCTGAACCCCAAGCCCTAAACCTTGAACCCTGAACCCTAAGCCCTGAACCCTAAGCCCTAAACCCTGAATCCTGAACCCTAAACCTTGAACCCTAAACCCTGAACCCTGAACCCCTAAATCCTGAACCCTAAACCCTAAACCGTCTTTCCATTGTCACCTCATGGACTGCGGAAGGTCAGGGAGGGTTCTGTCAGGCTCCGTCTCTCGGGTTTGTATACAGCTGGGTTTAGGGTTCCAGGATTTAGAGTTGAAGGATCCAGGATCTAGGGTTCTAGGATTTGAGGTTTTAGGATTTAAGGTTCTAGGATTTAGGGTTCTTTGTATTGAGGAAGGGTTCAGTGTGGAGGACGGACCCGTTAGAACCCCAGCACTCAAGCCAACTTCCTATTCTCAGCTCGATACGCAGCCATTTGGGAAGGTGGGAGTTGCAGAGAGCTCGTCTAGAACTCGGCGTGCAAAAGGCCATAGGGAGATCATGGCTCTCTTCCAGCGCAGCAAGTTCTTGGCACTGGTTCCGGCCGTTGCTCTTGCCCAAAACTCCTTCTCGGCTGCGCAGCAGCTGCAAGCAGAAGTGGCCCTTCGAACCAACAGCTCCTGGCATTTGGGTGGCTTCTGCATCGGCAAGGTGCGGGCTTTAGTGGTGGCCACAGGGTTCTTCTAGATTTTAAATGCCTTAAAAAGCCCTAAATAAGAGTCCTATAAGGCCCAGGCCCCAAGCCCTCCGAACTTTCCCAAGGCAAACCCACACTTTCAGAGTTGAGGGGTTAAGGGGTGCTACAGGGTTGTTCCGTTTTCTGACAGGCTCCCTCCGGTACGTCGAAGGCAGCAGAGATCACAGCCCACGTCGACTGGGAAGGCACCAAAAAGTTGGGTGAAACCGGGCCGGTGATGCTCGTGGCCTACGACGCACGCGAGCATAAATGGGGCTCCGTCAGGGACACATGGAATCAGAATGATGCGAATCCAGGCTCTTTTCAGTGGGAGTTTTTGTTTGCTGTATTTAATTGGAGATCCCGAGACGAGCCTATAAAATCGTATGAATCGCTCTTACACCCTCTAAATCCGTAAAAAACCCCGCCGAGCTTGCGTTTTTGCTGGATGAGTTGCCAGGGCACAGAAGCCATGAGGTGTAGCTTTGAAACCGGCGCCGATTACCCAGCAATCACTAGGGATTAATATAGAAGCCTTAATAGTTGGAATAGGGTTTGGGGGCCCCATATACTATAATTATAGCAAGGAACCCCCAAAATAGTATTCCTGTTCCTGTTCCTGTGCGGAC